TCATTGCTAGTTACAAATAAAAATAACTCATATATTTTTCTATGTGTCACGGTACGAACTACCGTGAAGAAATAGATATCTAAATTTGGTTAATATAATATAGTGATATTATATTACAACTGGTCACTTATAATAAGAATTACTCTAATTATAAACGTGTTACAGTAAATTTATTGCTGTGCTGTAATGTGTACTGAAATGATTCTGTGAATGGACATATTGTAGTCCGACTGTGAAAAACTAGTTAGTAGATGTTCTTATCCAAGAATTTTTATAAGATGACTTGTGAATGTTAGCTGCTGTAGAAGGGTATATAAACCCGTCAGATAGTTGAGTAAAGCAGTTCTTAATTGTATAGTTGTTTTAACGTAGAATCAAAGGCGTCTAAATTCTTGTGAGATAGTTAAGGGATACTGAATCCCGGAGATTATAGTAATTTAGAGATTTATTTTACGTTATCCTTGTCACGAAGCTGGTTTATGACACTATGATAATGAAAATTTTGTACGATATATCGAAATTTTGTGGACAATTATGACTGATTTCTTTATTTCATTATCATATGCGAACATTGAAACGTAAACAGGTGTTTAAGCACACAGCATGATTGTGGCACGTATCCCATAGTATAAATAGCGTAGATTTTGTACTTTTTTTATTTGTTAATGGACTTAGTGAGTGATAGTCCCGTTAGTACAATAACAACAACTAACAAAAGCGGGCCAACAAACTGTTGATCCAAAAATAAGTTATCGGGCTAATATCGGGTCGAGCTGTTAAATTTGTTATTTATATTCTCTTTCCTTTACTATAAATAGTATTGATGTCATCATTTCTGCTGATACTACACAATAATGTTTTAATAATATCGCCTTACTTTAGCCCAATTAATATTACTATTTCCCCCTCACATGTTATCTATATTATCTTTCCTTTACTGTAAATAGTGTTGATGTCATCGTTTCTGCTAGTACCAATCAATAATATTCTAATTTCGTAATTATCATTACATAATTACGTAAATACAACTGAAATAGTCCTGAATCATGCATGAAGCATGACTATATTTGTAGGTTAAATGTATTACTATTGTATTACTACGACTATTCAAGTTGCAATTACTTTAAACAACTGTAAATATTTACCAATTAATGCTAAGGCAACCACCAACTATAACTGACCTATATACCTTGCTTTGTGCTTAATATTTATAAATATATATTTACTTGTACCGCACCCTAATTAATATCATTGTTGTCCCATCATATGTCATCTATATTATTTTTCCTTCGCTATTAATAGTGTTGATGTCATCATTTCTGCTGGCACTATACAATAATGTTCTAATAATATCGCCTTACCTCAGCCCAATCAATATTGCTATTCTTCCCTTACACGTCATCTATATTGTCTTTCCTTTACTATAAATAGTGTTGATGTCATCGTTTCTGCTAGTACTATTCAATAATATTCTATTTTCGTAATTATCATTATATATATGCGTAATTGTAACTGAAATAGTTGTGAACTATGAATCATAACTATATTTAGATTGCGGTTTCTTTGATATGATCTTTCTATACTAGTCAAACGCTGACTATATAAAGCCTTACATTTGTACATTGAAATCATTTTATAAGGGATTTAGAAAAAATAATCCGGAAGATTCTCTTTGGTCACGAATAAAAGTAAACGGAAATCAGCAGATTTAACTTAAAAAATACATTTATATAGTCCCTATAATATAATTATGTTACTACAGTAATGTACTGTATTGATCCTAAATCGGATGTTATTTTAATTCACTTAATTATTTATATATGTACTATTAATTTATTTATGTCTAGCAGTTGGTAATCATGGGTTTATTCATGTTGGCATTCTATCGGTTAACAAAGTCAAGAGAATATTATCGCAATCAGTTAAATGTTAGTTCTTTTCCTTAATACTTAACGTATATAACAAGTCTGTTGCAACTTACAAAGCTGTTCGTTACTGATAATTCTTATCTCGATACATATACATTTATACATACGTATGTGTACTCATTCATACGTACGTAGGGTAATGATCGAGAAGACACTATGTCGGATATAGTTTTTTCTAAGTCTGCTATCGAAGAAAACCATGCAGTAGAAATAAGAAGTTGCTTGAATAGAGAAGAGTAAGTAATCATTCTAGTTGTTTATGTACTCTAATTATCTATTGCTACTATTTACTAAACACGAACATACGTTGTATAGTATCTCTAAGTGTGTTACGTGATATAACTTCAAGATTACGTTATAGATTAATCTAGATTAAAACTATATTGCAAAGTAGAAATACAATATATACGTTAGTTACTGTAGTTACAAATAGATATATTTGAAAAAAATGCCTTAACTGTATTTCATAAGGAGTTTTAATATGTGTTATATAAGCAAAAACATTTAATAAGGAAACTGATAATGCAATGTTAAATTTTTTAATTTAGGCCAGTAAGGAAGGTCTTAGATACTTTTTTCTTATACGTTTGGACTCTCAAAGTGCGTTTTAATGTATTTTACGTCAAGTACGATATAGCGTTAGTTGCTACTATCGACGAAGATTCTAGCTACTTGGGTTTATTGGCCCTTATACATTACGATTATACGCGTATTTCTAGTAGTATTTTATTTTCATGTTATTGGAATAACTAAGTTTCTCTTATCTTTTCTAAATGAGTTTTTTTATACATTGCTAGTTACAAATAAAAATAACTCATATATTTTTCTATGTGTCACGGTACGAACTACCGTGAAGAAATAGATATCTAAATTTGGTTAATATAATATAGTGATATTATATTACAACTGGTCACTTATAATAAGAATTACTCTAATTATAAACGTGTTACAGTAAATTTATTGCTGTGCTGTAATGTGTACTGAAATGATTCTGTGAATGGACATATTGTAGTCCGACTGTGAAAAACTAGTTAGTAGATGTTCTTATCCAAGAATTTTTATAAGATGACTTGTGAATGTTAGCTGCTGTAGAAGGGTATATAAACCCGTCAGATAGTTGAGTAAAGCAGTTCTTAATTGTATAGTTGTTTTAACGTAGAATCAAAGGCGTCTAAATTCTTGTGAGGTAGTTAAGGGATACTGAATCCCGGAGATTATAGTAATTTAGAGATTTATTTTACGTTATCCTTGTCACGAAGCTGGTTTATGACACTATGATAATGAAAATTTTGTACGATATATCGAAATTTTGTGGACAATTATGACTGATTTCTTTATTTCATTATCATATGCGAACATTGAAACGTAAACAGGTGTTTAAGCACACAGCATGATTGTGGCACGTATCCCATAGTATAAATAGCGTAGATTTTGTACTTTTTTTATTTGTTAATGGACTTAGTGAGTGATAGTCCCGTTAGTACAATAACAACAACTAACAAAAGCGGGCCAACAAACTGTTGATCCAAAAATAAGTTATCGGGCTAATATCGGGTCGAGCTGTTAAATTTGTTATTTATATTCTCTTTCCTTTACTATAAATAGTATTGATGTCATCATTTCTGCTGATACTACACAATAATGTTTTAATAATATCGCCTTACTTTAGCCCAATTAATATTACTATTTCCCCCTCACATGTTATCTATATTATCTTTCCTTTACTGTAAATAGTGTTGATGTCATCGTTTCTGCTAGTACCAATCAATAATATTCTAATTTCGTAATTATCATTACATAATTACGTAAATACAACTGAAATAGTCCTGAATCATGCATGAAGCATGACTATATTTGTAGGTTAAATGTATTACTATTGTATTACTACGACTATTCAAGTTGCAATTACTTTAAACAACTGTAAATATTTACCAATTAATGCTAAGGCAACCACCAACTATAACTGACCTATATACCTTGCTTTGTGCTTAATATTTATAAATATATATTTACTTGTACCGCACCCTAATTAATATCATTGTTGTCCCATCATATGTCATCTATATTATTTTTCCTTCGCTATTAATAGTGTTGATGTCATCATTTCTGCTGGCACTATACAATAATGTTCTAATAATATCGCCTTACCTCAGCCCAATCAATATTGCTATTCTTCCCTTACACGTCATCTATATTGTCTTTCCTTTACTATAAATAGTGTTGATGTCATCGTTTCTGCTAGTACTATTCAATAATATTCTATTTTCGTAATTATCATTATATATATGCGTAATTGTAACTGAAATAGTTGTGAACTATGAATCATAACTATATTTAGATTGCGGTTTCTTTGATATGATCTTTCTATACTAGTC